CTACCCCCGCCGCTCCGCCATCCCTCCCGTCCCTGCGGGCGCCCGGGACCCGCCGCAGCTCTGCCGGGGCCCGCGGGGTGACCTTCACGTTCTTCCAGCCCCCGGCCCTTCTGCTGGAGCCCACGAGGGGCACGGACCCTGCCCACTACCCCCCCCCCGTCACGAATGCTGGTGGGGGGGACACGACGGCCGGGGCTCGCCGCTGTCCCCGGGGCAAAGGCGCTGGGGACGGGGCTGCGGTGCCGGGAGGTTTGGCGCTGCCTGGGCAGAGCCGAGCGGGATGCCGGCACGGCATCGGTGACGGCGTCGAAGTCTTCCCCACGTTCTCCTCCGGCTTCTCCCGGCTGCGCCCGTCGCTTCTTGCCTGCTCCCGGCTTGGTGTGTCGGCGTGCCGCCTTCCCGCCACCACCCGTGCCCCTCGGGAGGCTCTGGGCGCTTTCCCACTCCATTTGCCAGGACCCTTCCTCCAGAGCCCGGCCCTGCTCCCACCCTGCGAAGGTCCAGGCTGTCCTGGTCGCATCTTGCTGTGCTTTAAACCTGCCGGCTGCTGGGAGCAGGGTGCCCACCGCATCCCTCGCCTCTCCAGAGTCGGGGGGAGCCAGCTCTCTCCTTCCCCTCCGTTCCTGGTGACGGACTGTTCCCATCCACTCTGCCCTCCCCGGACAGGTCTTTTACAACGGTGCCAACGTGAAGCAGGTGGACGTGCCCACGCTGACCGGCTCCTTCGGTATCCTGGCCTCTCACGTCCCTACCCTGCAGGTCCTCAAACCAGGAGTCGTGACGGTCTATGCTGAGGATGGCACGGCCACCAAGTATTTTGGTAAGTAAAGCAGGCGGAGCTGGGGAGGAAGGAAAGCCTGCGGCAGGGGGGGTGAGGGGGAGCATTCTCAGGGCTTTCACAAGGGAGACTCTGCCAACCAAGGTGTGCCCTGATACACTTCCAGAGATTTCTGCTTTCCCAGCCACCCAGGGGCTGCTGGAGGCTGCCCTGCAGGCCGGGGATCTGCCCTGGAAGATGGGGCTCAGTGTGAGGCTGTGGTCTGGGGTCACGTTTTCTTGGTTCTGCTCAGACTCTCTGGGCGCATCCCCTGCTGTAGCTTCCCTTTTGATAGGAAATGAGTCCCTGTGGGACTTGGGAAGTGTTATGGGAGGGCATCAAGGTTTTGTTTTGGCAAAGGGATCGTGGAGGTTCTGGGGATGAGCTTGCCCATGCCGTCTTGTGTGTGGACCCCCAAACGAGGCCCGTCTGGCAGCCCTGCCTGCGCTGCCTGATTCGGCCCCTGCTGTTGTACCTTTGCAGTGAGCAGTGGCTCTGTCACGGTCCACGCGGACTCCACCGTGCAGGTGCTGGCAGAGGAGGCGGTGACAATGGACATGCTGGATCTGGCTGTGAGTACCGGGCCCCTCATGGAGGGGAATTTGCTCCCTGCTTCTCTCATGTGGGATGGTTGTCTCGGGAGCTTCCTGTGGCTGCGGAAAGCATGCTCCGACCAAGGGCTGTGCCTTCACCCTGAGCTTCCCCATCGCCCACTGATCGGGATCAAAGGCTTGGAGCTCCTTCTCAGTGAACTCTCTACAGGCTGTGGGGAGTAGAAGCCGCACAGTCGTTAATCCTTCTTCAGGCCACTTCCCTCCCCTTGGACAGATGCTGGTCTTGCCCCTCCCCACCCCTCTTAGTCTTGGGAACAGCTTTTCCGCGGCAGGGCCTGTTGATAAGGTGTCTGCTGCCAGCCCTGTGTTGTGGGGCTGACGACTGCAGTGAAGGGAGCGGGCTGCAGGACAAGTCACCCATCCTGCAGTGGTGTCTCGATGACACATTTCTTGTGCTCTCGTGTTCAGGCTGCAAAATCAAACCTGGAGAAGGCTGTTTCAGAGATGGCTGCAGCATCTGATGAAGCAGCTAAAGCAGAAGCTCAGATTAAAGTAGAAGCTAATGAAGCACTTGTAAAAGCCCTGGAGTAGTTAAGGTGAGTGTCACCTATATCCCGGCTGAGATTTCCAGACCTACTCTGGAGACATGTCCCTGCTCAGTGCTGCCCATAGGGAGCTTCCTCTTGCAGCAGCCAGGCCTGCTGGGGAGCGCAGGGGTGGACGAGGGTTTGTGCCTGGGTTTCAGGGAGCGGTGACACGAGAGCTGTCCTTTTCCATGGTCGGGTGTCAGCTCTGGGGGGGGGGTCGTGGGTGGCCCCTGCCTAGAGCCAAGCAGGAACCGCTAGATGGCAGCAGGGCCCGGTGCTGTGCCGTTCCGTGCCGTGCCGTGCCATGGTGCTGAGCCGTGCCATGGTGACGTGGGGTTCAGCCCGACACCGGGACATGCTGGGAGACCAGAGCCACTGGTGGGGCCTCGCTGCTGCCTCCAGGTCCCCGCTGGGACAGGCCACACCAGCGGGCAGCTCAGGAGCGGTCTGGACGCTTGGGGCCCCGGAGGGAGAGTGATGTGTGGCCTCTGCTCCTTGTACACTCCCTGCCACTAAAAACAAACAGCTTCTGCCTCAGGGGAGGCAAGGCTGGGCTGCTTACCTCGTGGCCCCTTTTCCCTCTACCCTGCTAAGCCTGTGCCTCATCCCTCTTCTTCCCACGTGCTGGCAGTTGGGAGACTTACTCTGCGGCAGCATGTGTGCTGTGCCTGGCAGGTGAGTCATGAAAAGCCTCTCCAATGGCCTGCCTGGAGCAGGTACAGCAGGGCAGCGGCTCCCTCGCTGTCTCCCTGATCTCTGGTCCTTGTGCTCTTTGGCCCATGAGGTCAGGCCTGAGAGAGCCAGTGGCTCTTGTTTACTTGCTGCGGTTTAACAGTCTGAGCCAGCGCCAAGCCCTCGGATCAGAATCCACCGCTCTGCCGACCCCACCCTGCGTTAAAACCGACTCCACTTCTGTGTGTTGCAGGAATTCCACTGTCGATGTAGAGAAACCCCAGACTGTCCTACTTGTCCTGGCTTCCCCGATTGTACAGATGGTGCGGGACAAACGGAGGCGGAGAAAACGCTCTGATCAATTAAAAAGAAATGTAACCCTGTCTTGTAGCATGTCACCTTCTTCGGAGGCAGCAAATTGCAGCTTGTGGTGTGCCAGTGGCTGGGTGCCCGGGGGCAGGCTCCTGCCCCCACGCCGGGGTCTGCTGGGGTGCAGTTGCTCGGGGAAGGTGTCCTTCCAGCACTGCCCTGGGGTTCGGCTGGGGATTCCCGTGGGAGATTCACCTACGGGAAGCTTATCAGGCAGATTTTATAACCCCCTCCCTGTGCTGTCAGCCACCTCCACCTCCAATAATCCACCTGGACAGCAGGATTAACAGCAGCACAGGAGGCGGCATCCACAGGGTAGCGCACGTCTGTACCAGAGGCTTCCTGTCCCGACTCCCCTGCCCCATCCAACACTGGCTTTTGCTCAGACTCCCAGCTCCCTCGCCACAGGAATTCCCATCGGCTGGGCTGTTTCTTCATGGTACTTCTTGCAGCTGGACAGCAGCTTCCCAGGCTTTGACCTGTTCCCCTGCTGCTGCGTTTTCCACTGCGCATGTGGCATGCAGAGCAGGGGAAATCTCCCCCTGCTCCTTGGAGACGGGCTTGGTGCGGAGAGGGAAGCAGATGCCGTACGTGGTGGGAGTCTTTCCTGAATCCGTGTGTGGTGGGGATGGCTGATGATGGTGCTCTGCTGAAGTTGCTGCTTGCCTGGGGGCTTGCTAGCGAGCAGCCCCGTCCGAGGAGGTTGCCCCAGGCTCCTCGCAGCCCGGAGGAAGCGGGAGGCACTCGCATGTCTGCAGCGAGCTCGCCGGTCCCCACGCGCCTCGAGCAACGGCAGCACCGTTGGGAAGGAGTGGGTTCGAGTGAGGGGCCGGTTCTGCCTGTGCCAGACGCTCGAGGATGTGTGTCTTGCCAACGGCACCATCTGCTGCCAGGCTCCTCGTTCGGTGCCGTCCTCCCCACGCCTCCCCAGAGGGATTTCAGGTTCCCTCTGCTGTGCAACCACCCCCCGGCACCAGCTCGCCAGCCGGGGGAGACCGAGGCAGCCGCTGGCCCCTGGACGCGTGGGGCTGCGGTCCCTCTGCCTCGCTCTAATCCCCTTTTCCCTGCAGTCTTCCAGCGCCTGCCTGGGAACGCGAGTTGGCTTGCCTGTGTGGGCAGCTGCTCTAGCAAAGGTCAGCGGGCAGCAGGTTCGGCCTCCTGCCTGTCCTCCCCGCGGGCTGCGAGCTCGGCTCCCCGCGGCTCCGCAGTCGGAGCGGGGCACGGCTATTTTCGGCGCTGCCACCCAGGATGTAATCTTGGCTGCCTCCTCTTCTCACCACCACCTCCTCCCCCTCCTCTCGCTTGCTCTGTCTTTCTCTCCCCCCCCTTCACAAGTGATCAAAAATAGTGCCTGTGGTGTTAAATTTCTCACTCTGTAGCTTATTAAAAGCCTCTGAGTGCCTGACGCTGAGCCTATTTGAAGCTCAGCCGACTTCCCAGTTTCTGAGCTGCTCCAGTGCCTTTTTCTTCCCTTCCCCTCTCTTCCCTTTTTTTTTTTTAAAGGTCATATGTTGCGCTGTGCATAAGCAAAGCCTCAAAGTCAGAGCGAGTGCTAATTAAAACGTCTTGGGAATAACTGGGGACGGACGGCTTTGCTCCTTCTTCCGCTCCCTCTTGCTCTCCTCTGTCCCCAGTTTCTATTTGCGGCGTGCGTGTGCCTCTCGACACACGCAGCCGCTCTTTTTCCGACGGAAGGTGGCTGCAATTTTTTTTTTTTTTTTTTTTTTTTCTTCTAATGGAAGAGCGTTGGCGAGGCCGGGAAGCTGGGGAAATGGCCAGCTGCTATTTTTAGGATGGGAAAAAAGTGTCTCCGTCAGCGTCCTCTCACCAGCTCTTCCCACTGCCTCCCGCCAGCTCCGGGGGGGGACGGGGGGCCAGCCGGGATCCGGCCCTGCCCCCTCGCAGGGTGCCCTTGGCCGGGCTCTCCGTGTCGTGACGCCTGCTGGGACTTGTAGTCTGCATTTGGGGGGAGCAGCAAGAACACCTCCGGTTCGCCCCACATCTGCAGTGGCCGAGGGACCCCTGGGGACGGCTGTGCTCCCCACTGTGCAGCAGGAGGCAGCTCTCCCCCCGGGCAGGGGCTCTCCTGCCCTCGTAGGTGTGGGGAAAGGGCTTTTTTCCTAAACTCTGCTCTGCCAGCCCCCCGACATTGCCAGGCAGGACCGGAGCGGTGCTGGGCAGGGACTGCCTGCACCCTGGCTGATGGCACTGCAGCCCCGCTCGCCCTGCCCTGCAGTTTGGGGGTGCAGGGCGGTGGGTGGGGGTGGTCCCAGGCTCTCCCCGCTCCCCCTTGCAGCCCAGCCGGGTTCCCGCAGGGTTCCCCCGCTGCGGCCTCGGCTCTGAGCCCCTCACCTGCCTCTGTCCTTTCCCATCACTGCTAATTATCTGGTTCTGCCGAGAGCAGCGTTATCCTCCTCCCCCGGCTCGCCACGCTGAGCTCTCGGCTCCCTCTGCCCACGCCGGGAGCCGCGATCAGTCACGTCCCGCTGGATGCCACGAAAATGGTCTCTGACTCCCTGCTTGGCGCAGGAGACGCGCGGCTGCGGCTGAACCGGAGGCAAAACCCTTCACCGCTCCCGGCTCGGCGTGCCGCCGCGATCTGGTGTGGGTGCTGTGGAGACGGACCGAGACGGGGGGGGGGCAGGCGGGGAGGTGGGTGTCAAGCCCCAGCGTGGATCATGCCTGTACCACTGATGTGATTCAGCGGGTGAATCCTCCCTCCTCTCCTCCCAAAACTGGCCTGGCTGGCGGCGGCACCAGCGCGGCACTCGGCTGTCCCCAGAGCCCTGGCACGTGCCCTCGGGTGCCGCGGCCTCCATCTGTGGCTGGGGCAAAAGGTCTTTCCCCGACGCTTTTTGGGGCGGTGGGTGCTGGGGCAGCGCCTCGTCTCTGCACTTGTGTCCCCGCTCCGGGCAGGGGGACATGGGGTCGTGGCGGCCGGGAGAATCGGCACAGCACGGTGGAGTTATTACGGGGAGCCTGGGATCTGTTTGTCTCCGGGTTTCGGCTGCCGCGGGGTGGGGTGGGCGTGAGAGGGAAACGTTAATGCGCAGGAGGGAAGGGCTGCCTGGAAAATGGCGTGAGCGGGGCGGGGGGCCGGCGCGTCGCCCTCCTCCTTCCTTTCCACCGAGGGCTTTCGCCCATGACTTGCATCTTCTGCTGCCAGATGGAGGGTGGGGAGCCGGGCCGGGAGTGCTCGGAAAGTGAAGCATCACCGTTTCTGCCGGCGTCGCCGGCGGCATTTCTTCTCTTGGGGGATGATTTCCGAGAGGGGCCGGGCTCTGCCGGGCCAAATCTCCCGGTGCTGGCGTCCCATCGCCGTGCTTGGCCACATGGCATTTCCACTGTCCCACCCAGATCCCGAATGCAGGGGAAAGGTTCGAACTCTCCTCTCTCTGCAGGAAAAAAAACAAAACCCCAAACCCCACCGCAGCCCCAGGATTCCCCCGGCTCCCAGCTGGACTGACTCATCCGGCAGAGCCGCCCCTTTCCCTGCCCAAACCCGCAGTGCTCGGGATCCTGCCCGGCCTCTCGCAGCCGCCCTGCTATTGCCCCGCGTCCTCGGTGCCCATGTCGCGGCATCGCAGCGGGGGCTGCAGGGGCTGCCCCCCCACCCCTTGTCCCTGCCGAGGGCACCCGCTGCTCGGGGTGCTGCGGGAGGTGGAAGGCAGCCCCCGCTCACAGCCCCCCCGGGAGTTTGGGGACCCTCGGTGCCGGGCAGCACCCTGCCTGTCCCTGCCAAGGTTTCGCGGCACCCGGGTGCGGACGTGGCTCCGGCCAGGACCCCTCCCCGGCCCCCGTGGCCATGGGCTGCTGCCTGCGGCCCTGGTCCCGGCGTGGGAAGGTCAGCAGAGGCTCCGTACGCTGCCAGCATGAGCCCGGCCGTGTCCTTGGGCCACGTTGCCCTTGGGTGGCTCGAAGGCCGTATCCTCGCAACTTCCTTCTCTGGAGGGGGGGAGAGCTGCTGTAATGATTAACCCGCGCTGCGTTAATCGTTCCATCCTGCAACCTTTTTCCTCTTGGTTTCCAGCACTGGAAAATGCCTCTCTTCCGCTGACCTCCCACACATGTGGCCCCCGTGGTGGGAGCGTGGCAGAGCTCAGGGAAAATCCCTGTGGGCAGGGCAGGCAGGAGCAGGGAACCTGGGCTCGGGGCACGGCGGCAGGCAGGATCTGGCCCGGCCGTGGCTTCTCGGTCCCAGCCCGTTTCTGGGGTGATTTGCCGGCAGATGGCAGTGGAGCCGTGGGGAGACGTCACCCCACCAGCCTCCCCGGCCTCACCCCCCAAAATCCAGGCGCAGGAGCCAGTGCCGACGGGTGTTGCGGAGGGCGGGTGTTGTAGCCAGCACGACGGTGCTTGTCATGCAGCTCCCGGGCCAACAGCCTCGGAGCGCCGTGCTGGCGAGCGCGGCAAACCCTTGGCCCGGGGCGGGTTCTCTCTTGGGGAAACTGAGGCACAGTTGGGGAAAGCCCCTTTTCAGCTGGGGAGAGCGGGGATGGGACATGGGCATCCCAGACCCTGCCGCTGCACTGTGCTGCAGTCCCCCCCCTCCCCGGGAAGTTGCTGGGGGTCAGGCGAGGGGCAGTGGGGGCGGCGCGTTGCCCTGGGGTCCCAGGTGCTTTGGCAGGGGCTCGGCGGCCCCGGGGGCTGCGGGCGCAGCCCTCGCTCGGGGCAGCCTCTGCGGCCGCTCACACTTGGTTTCGCTGGAGCCGGCCCAAAGCCGCGGGGAGCGCGGAGGGGAGCGCACGGCCCCGTGCTGGGGGTCCGAGAAAAATCCTCTCCCACCGCTCCCCCCCCAGCCGGGGCCACGACCCTTGTGGGGCAGGGGGAGTCTGGGGAGGAAGCGGCTGCCAGCTGGGCTCGCTGCCGGCTACAAAGGCGGCCCAGAGAGCCCGAGCGGAATGAGGTGGCTCCCGTCCAGGTTCCCACGGCGGCCCCGGTGCAGAAAATACACCCGGAGCTGGTGGCGGTTGCCACAGCGATGGGCTGGGTGCCATGCCGTGGGAAAGGGCAGGGGGGCACAGCCCCGGACCCAGGTGTGCCAGCACGGGACCCCGGTGCGGGGCGGTGGGAGCACCGTGGGGCGATGGAGCTGGGCGCTGGCGGGGACCAAAGGCTCTTGCCCTGGTTCCCGCTGCCCCCGCCTGCCTTTGATGTTCCGGGACTTCGCCCTTGGTAAAGCTGGGAGGTTCCCAAGGAGTTCCCGGCTGGAGCCCAACATCCAGCACCCAGGCGTCCTGGCGTGAGCCCCTGCGAGCCCCGGGGCTTCATCCGCCACTTGGTTCCCCTCGCCTCACTGCAGCCGGGGGCTCGGAGTTGCAGCCGGGGGCTCGGAGCCCCCACGGGCTCCCCAGTTCCTGGCCGAGCTGGCCCGGAGGAAGCGGCTGCAGCTGGCCCCGGTGGTGGGGCTCTTCCTGGCGGGGCTGGCGCCGGGCTGGGG